CCAAACATCGCTTCTTGTAATTAGCTTAGTCATTATGCTAATTTACACCTAGTTTATATTTAATTACATAAGCTCGATTTTAGCCAATATTTTTTTATAATTTTAGCAAATTTTGATGATTTTCAATATAATTGAAGTCAGAACCTTGGCTGTTGTAAGAGCCAAATAGTATGTATATGTTCATTGAACATATAGAATGTAGAATGTTAGGAGGGGTCATTTTAGAATTTTAGAATTTAGAATGAGTGGGAGGGGGGTTAATCACTGTGACCTTACAGAGCCATTGTGTCCCCCTTTCTTGAGTCATAACTCATCATACAGTCCCAGGGCTTTGACAAAAGCCAGTATCTGGGACGGTTTTATAGAGGGTAGTTCCATCTCCAATATCAGTCGTACCAAAAATTCATGGCACGAATGGTTGTCGTCTCGGCGCACTCAGTGATGAGGCATAACAGGCTTCCCATCTTCCCACAGAATCTGCATTCGCCGTTTCTTCTTAGTTTCAATCTACTGAGGTGTTCATTGAGGAGACAGTGTCCTGTTAAAACCCCGTGACAATCCGGAAGATTGTTCTTACTTAAACCCAGGTGAAATAAATCTGTGATTTTTCTTGATCATAAGCCTCAGAAACTTCTTCGAGTGTCTTAGACTGTTGCAAGATTTCCATTCCAGGTTGCGGATGGAATCTCCGGTCTTTTGAGTTCCGCCTTGACTTGGCTACCACTTGGAAAGCAGAAACTCGTTCTGGTCCAGTTAGTAGAGTGTCTTCGCCCTTCCTAGCTAGATTATTTGCTTTTCATTGCCTCTATCCCTGGTGAGCAGGTAGGAGGATCTTTGTTTTCTTTGCCTAATTTATTCAGCTTCTATGCATTCTTTGACCAATTTCGAATTGATTGATACCGAGTTGATCGCTTTAACGCTGCTTGACTATCAGACAAGATCAATCGACAAGATGACTATTTCTTGTCTCCGATAGTTCCTATCTAAGATAAGCTGTACGCATCTTCGATAGCGTAAATTTCTGCCCGTAGGATACTAGGTGCGCCCATTGGTTCGAGTATTTAGCCTCGGCCCAAACACCCGATCCCGTTCCCGCATTGGTTTTGGAAGCACCTGCATACCGCTATGGTATGGTCTTTTAACTGCTGGACAAACGTTTCCCGCTCTTCAACTTGCTCAATACTACATTGATGTTTCAAAGTTGTACGTTCTGGCATATCGTCCACTGGGAGTTGCAGGAGTGGTATTTCCTTTATGAGGGTAATTCCTGCCACTGATCTGACAATTCTCCCAGTACTCCAATTCCGTTAGTAACCATTCTAATCATTGTCGCATTGGCATATCTACCAATAACAATGTGCAGTGGTGTTAGATCTAGAATGACCTCCATTGCTGCTGTTGGACAGGTTCTCATGGCTCCTGTGATGCAAACGCATGCTAGTCTCTGGACTTTGCATAGGTTTACTCTTTGCCGTCCGATGCTCTAGTTTTGTGTACCAGGCAACTGCTCCATAAGTAATCATGGGTCTTACTATCATGGTATACATCCAGCGCAAAAATGTTAGGAGCAGCCCCCATCTATTTCCGGCCAGTCTTCTGCATATCATGAGAGCTTTATGGCTTTGCTGGTAGTGTTCTTAATATGCCTGTTCCACAGGAGTTTACTGTCCAGGGTTATTATTCCTAGATATTTAACTTCCTGTGTTGACATTTCCTTTCCATCTAGTTGATTCTTTTCAAGTTTTTGAGACTTCTGGTGAATGGCACTATCAGTGGTTTTGTCTGAGTTGATAATTGCCCGACAGTATCTACACCATCTTTCAGTGATACGGAGTCCTCTTTGGATAATATCACACAAGGTGCCATCATGTTTCCCCCGAGCGATCACGACTATGTCATCTGCATACCCAATGCAGTGTATTCCCGCTAGAGTTAATTCGTCTAGTAGTTCATCCACCACCAAGCTCCACAGCAAAGGGGAGGTTACTCCACCTTGTGGAGTTCCTTGCGTTGTTTTAACAGCTACAGTTTTGGTGCCCATCTGAGCCTCAGCTGTTCGTGTTGACAGCATTTCCCAAAACCAGCGAATAATAGTTCTGTTCACCCCTCTTGTTTCTAGAGATCGCCTGACCACCTTATGTGGTATATTGTCAAACGCCCCCGCAATATCCAAGAAGGCACAAATTGCTGTTTCTTTGAAAACAGCAATTTCTGCATTTAGGAGGGGTCATATAGCTGGCATCATTCTGCACCTTCAGAACATTATAGATCAGGATATGACTGCATCGTTGAACATAGCATGCAGTACGAATTGTACATCAATATCAACAAAACTAAACTTGTTGTGCTTTCCAAAATACCGGAAAAGTCTTTCCTCAGAATTAACAACAAGGTGGTAGAATTATCGTCCATAAAATATCTAAGAGCCCTTGCAAACGATGCTTGCGACCCCAAAATTGAGATTTTAGCGAAAATCGAACAAACCAGACGTACTTTTGCTTTCGTGAAAACCCCCTTTTCCAGCCAAGATCTAAGCCTCCGCTAAGATCTAAGCCTCCGGGGGCTAAGCCATCTTTCCAGTATTTCTCTACGGCTCTGAGAATTGGATCACTCAATCAGACACTGGAAAATCGCATTAACTTTTTTTTGAGATGTACTTGTATCGTCTGTTGCGTGTATCGCATGTATGTAATCGCATGTATGTATCGCATGTATGTAATCGTATGTTGCGTGTATCCTGGATGGACAGAGTAACAAATGAGAAGGTGCTCATGTGGATGGGCAAAGATAAAGAGTTAAGGAAAGGAAGTTACAGTACGTCGGCCACATCATGAGGGGTAAACGATACGAGGTACTCAGACTGGTCATTGAAGGTAAAATTGAGGGCAGGGGATTCACAGGAAGAAGGCAAAACTCCTGGCTTAAGTATCTGCGTCGTTGATTAGGAAGAACATCTATTGAAATTTGTAGAGGTGCAGTTTAACGCACCATCATAGCCAGTTGGATTGTCAACCGCCGAAGGGAAACGGCGACCCAAGAAGAAGAAGATAATCCTAACATGGTTATCGAAAGATGCGTCCAGTCTTTAAAAGTAAATTGTTTTGGTGTATTGTGATAAATTATTAATTAGTGCTTTGTATTGCTTTAATTACTTTGATCTAGTATTCAAACACACTGTTATATCGCAAAGAAGAATAATTTTCAATGCATTTACTGCATACAGCCGTTAGATTAAAAAATTAATGTTAAGGTTATTATATCAATTGTGTTGGGTTGGCTGTTCTTTGTTTCTTTTTTGTGTATAGGCTTGGTTGGTTGGTTGAAGTGGCGAGTGCGACCGCTTGTCAAACTCCTATTAGAAGAATTGCCGTTTTGATACCACTTACTCTGAGAAAGTTGGATTGTTACCCTGGCGTTATCCTTACGCGACTTTATTATACGTTCTCCCGATTTCTTAAGGTCTTATTAGGGCCTAGTTTTACTGGCTGTCCTATACGTATTTAAAATTATCCATAACAATAAACAATAAAAACGTAAGTGATTATTGCAGATTTCCGTTCATAAGTTGTCTCCTCGCTCAGCCATTTGCAGACCTTCCAAATGGCAAGTATCTCTGCCTGGAAAACACCTGCTCTGTCTAGAAGCCGATAAGACCTTGCAATGTCAAGACCCTGCGAGGGGTTACCCCCGCATCTACGCCTGAATCCAGTGTATATCCTTAATATTTTCCATTATTAAACAAAGGAACGATTTGAATGCTTACCCCTGAGCTATTCTGGTTCTTCGAGCTTGATATTGTTTAAGAAAATCTATTCGTTTTTTTTAATAAACCCCTAGCAATAGTTTATATATTTGTTATTGTTAATTATATTATATTACACTTATTAAAACATTGGACCATTGGAAACAAAAGCAACAAATGACGACAACGAAAAGAAATTGTTCAAGCGAAACAAGGCAATTTAAAGGCATTTCTGGTGTGAAAAGGACAAAACGCTGAAACACGTGAACTTTATTTTCGAAGGGTAAATAAGATGCGACTATTTTTGAAGCCCCTAATTCAAACCCCACGCAGGGATAACGTCCATCCTTAAAATCTTAAATGTAATGCGGGGTCGAGTTACACATCATTTGAAAGGTTATTCATCTCATTTTTGGAGTTTTTGTCACATTTGGTGGAATCGGGCTAAAAAATAAACTTTTCATAAATTGATGATGCTTTGATATTTGATTAATTGTACAAGAATCGAAATGGAATCTAAAATAAGAAATTTAGTTAAAATCAACAAGATTTTGCTTAAGGAATAATACACAAGTAGTACCCTGCTTTGAAACAATTACTTGATTAAATGTTCGAATTGAGCACCCCCTGCTTCCATGCACGAATACAGGTTCTGCTCAAAGCGTTATCGGACGTGTTGTAATATTTCGGGTGTTATAACCGCGTACTCGTGTACAATTCTTTGACGTAATACTTCTACTGTCTCCGGTTGCGTGGCGAATACTTTTGTTTTAATATGTCTCCATAAAAAAAATCCAGCGGAGACAAATCCGGTGACCTAGCTGGCCATTCAAGGAAGGGTCCCCTTCTTCTGATCCATCGGGCGGAAAATGTTTTCAAAAATAGTCGCATCTTATTTCCCCTTCGAAAATAAAGTTGACGTGTTTCGCCGTTTTGTCCTTTTCACACCAGAAATGCCTTTAAATTGCATTTTTTCGTTTGAACTGGGACACCCTCTATAACTATTATATTTAACAAACCTAATCGATTTATATTCACCTCGACAATCGGTGGTAAAATTCTGTACACAGTATTAAAACACTGTGTACATAAAAATAACTAGAGATAATAATGATAATGAAATAACAATTTTTAAAATAATATCATATTGCCATTACTAAACTTTAGTATAATTAGAAACATACGTATTTTAAAATAGGATCTCCGTTACGCAAGAGAGAGATATACATTAGCAGCTATCCAGAGAGAAAAAATATACCTAAAGCCTGATTCTCCTTGGCGTCGTCGCATCGGTGGATTACCCTGGTGACCCCGGAAGCCATGTCCCTTCGGAGGCGAAACCGACCGCGACAGCTGACAGTTATTCCGATACCGCGTTATAATTAAACAAATAATTTAGCCTCCCTCGCGAGCGCATGCACCGCGTTATCGTTTCCTGGTGCGCGCTCTTCTCCACGTGTACGAACGCGAACTGACTGGGACGAATGCGACGATTTAATTTTAGATTAACGCGAAACCTTGTGGGCGATGTACGAGTAGTTCTACAGTCGTTTATTGTTGTACCTGCTAAAGATAGGAGGCGTAGTTTTACAGGTGTCTAGAATTTATAGATTTGTATGGATTTTGAACTAAAGTCGTCATCGTTATTGAAAAAAAAAAATTAGTGGCAAGAGAATTTATTTTAGCGTAAAAGAAAATATTTTGCCTGAAGAAAACCTCCCTTAAAAACTCCTAACTAACTTAACTTTGGGGTGATGAACCACCCCAAAAAATACCAAGGAGTGAAGAAGCAGAAATAACTACTATCGAGGAAAATAATATCACTTTACTTACTGCAGACCAGGAAAACCTAAATTTATCAGAAAATAATATACCTCGTAATATGCCTGTAACTCTTCTCTTAGATCAAAATAAATTTTAGTTGAGTCAATAGTATTCGCTATTGGTTTAAGAAAAGTGTCTCTTTAATCAAGAAATGTCCCTTTTTAATCAAGAATTTTGGCATGAACCAAAGGGACTATTGTTCTTGTAGCAAGAACTTCTTTGCATATTCATTTTGGGTCAAGAGTGAAATACTTTGAACAGATAGATTATTCTATTCTCTAAAGTAATTTTTTAAAGCTTATGGAAAGGTAGTTAATGCTTTGGGCAAAGAAACGTCGTTCTTAGCCCTATTGAAAAGCGCCAATCTTTTGGGTCAAAGTCATATTCATTTCGACTGAGAGATCCTTTTTTTCAGTGTGTGCGACATTTTACAGGTTCGTTCCAACACACAAATTTGTACCGTTCTAGAATGGTAATTGGGATTAAGCCGGTCCCAAACGATGTGTCAAACAGCTTTTAACGTGAACATTTACCATATCTTGTAGGAGCCACACTTGTCAATTGCAATATTGTCGAAGCCTATGCCAAATGATGCGTCCAACGTTGGTTCCAGCGTTGGAAGCATCGTGTAGGACCGGCATCGTGTATATATCCGAATATGTACGCATGAGTCGACTTAGACAGCTTTGTTGCGAAAATTAAATGCTGGATGGTCAACTGATTTTAGAATCACTGCTGAATCCGTTTTTGCTGTTGATCAAATCGGTGTGAGAAGTTGTGACGCTATAAAATGTTGTTTCGGGAGATTTGAATATCCGAGAAAGTTGAGTTATTGAATGTTATTACACCCAACATCGCCCTAATTACGCCCTAATTTACGCGTTACCATTTTTTCAACGACAATTTTATTAACATTAGAAATTGTCATAACACAACGCCTAGTACGACCTCTTTTTCGCTTTGTTTTTACTACCCGAAACAGCCTTTAAACAGCCGCTACACTGTCCTCGAAAAGTTTTAGGAAATATTTCATGAAAATGATTTTTTCTGAAAATAGTACGATAAATATAAGCCCGTGTTATAAAAATTAGTTCCCACGTTTCCTGATCAATTTCGGGAAACGTGGGAACTACTAATTGTCTAAATCCTGGGTGCTATTAAAAGTATCATTTGCATATTTTTCTTTTGCTTTTAAATAATGTGCGTGGACCATACTTTTGTTGACATCGGGTCAATTAATAATTTTCATAAGCGTAAAATATTCATAATGTTACCAGTATTACTCATCAAGCAATACTACTGTTATATTAATCATTTAAGGCCGTAAACAAACATATCATATACAATTTTATATACTAACTCATTATAATAAAACTAGATCATAACAATATTGTAATTATTATATTCCTGTACAATAAATGTTTAAAGTTTTTTTCCTAAATATCTACTATATATACAGGGTGGCCCATCGAAAACGTTCCGCAAAGCATAACGGCCAGGGTATTCGTTTTTTCAAAAAATCCAAAAACACGTCATTTTTTTTGTGAGGGGGGGCAACAACGGGGGGGCCCTAAAAATGATTGCAAAATCTTCGACCCTCTGAGCGGGGGTGTCATCCCCTAACTTTTTTCAAATGGGAAGGGGGGTCAAGTGGCGCCGCAACGAAAAGATATTTCTATTCTCTATATTTCCCCGCCTCGTTTTTGAAAATCGGTCGAGTCATTGAGAAAATATGAAGGATTGAAATTTGAGAAGTTTATTTAAACATTTATCAGAGTAAATGATAAGAATAAATTCCTTCGACCAATTTGAGTTTTTTCTTATTATTTTTAGATGTTTACGCATTTTTTCACTTGCCACAAGGTTGAACGATCAGGTGTGGTAGTTGCTAGATAGCTGTTGAAGTTCTTCTCAATATCGTTAAACTGACCCACAATAGAATTTCCAAAAATACCAGCCCACATGTTCAATTTCTGAGGGTTTTGTGTGTGCACCTCGTTAAAAATCCTGGGGATGTCCTCAGCCCAGTACCGACATTTGTGCCGATTAACTACATCGTTCAAAAAGAAAGTACAATCATCCGAAAAACACACATTAAATAAGAAATTATTATCATTCGCCACTCGTTCACTCATAGTTTCACAAAATTGCAAGTAACGATCAAAATTGTCTTCGTTGAGTTCTTGTAGCAACTGAATTTTGTACGAGTGTTTTTTTAATATTCTTTGGATATTTGTACGATTCACGCCGGTCTCATTGGGTAATTTTCTTGTACTCAGCGTACTATCCATGGCAACTTGGCCCAATACGAATACCTCCATAGCTTCAATTATTATAGGATTTTACCTCTGCCTCTTTTTATTCATAACGGAACCAGTTTCGCGAAATTTTGCTACTAACTCGCGAACAATTTTGCCATAAAGGTGTTTGTCAGGATGGCGTTCATTGAATATCTGCGCAACCCGATTGCCACATTGGTTATTTTTAAAATAAAGTTCGATTATTTCCATTTTTTCTGCAAGTGAGTATACCATAATAATTGTT